CAGGAATGATATATGACTACATAGTAAAAGTGTGTGACATCTTTTAGCCTTGCATCTAGTCAGGGCTAAAAATAGAATTAAAAGTTGAAGTTCTGAGACAAATTCATGGAAGCATAATCTTACTGGCTTTCAATGGACTACATTTCCTTTACACCAGGGTTGAACTTACAGGGGCACAGTTTTTGTAAGTTTATATTTATACTGATAAAAACAAAGTCTACACTAGGGATTTAATTGCTTAGTTGAGTCAGCAAACTAATATTGTTAAAGCAGTACATAAACAAGACAAACCTAAGCTCTTGGAAACGTATTTGTGCCACCTGAAGCAACATAAGCCACATGTATTTTTTGAGATATTTAAGTACAAGAGCATCTTCTGAAGATGCTTTTTAACTTTGTTTTCATGCCAGAACTTCAAAGGATAACCCCCCACAAGGAAACAATGAACACTCACCCTTCTCACAGTCACTGAGAAGCCCTTCCCACAGGCCATGCAGTTCTGTACCTCGTTATCTTCTGCCCACTTCCTGTTCAGGGCTTGCGTGTGTTTGATCTACGTAAACAAAATATGTCTTCCATTACATCACACACAATCTGTCAATCTCAGTATAAAGAAGGGGTGCTCAAACTCCAGCCCGTGAGCCAAATGTGGCCTGTGGAGCCATAGGTACCCGGCCCATGGGGTTCCCCACAGGTAACGAAATTTGGCAGCAGGGAAGTGGTGGCAATACCTACAGCCACCCTCCCCCACTGCCAAATTCCCAAACTTTGAGCCCTGTGCAGCAGGTTAGGGCCAGGGCACACTTTCTCCACCCACCAAGCAGCTGCATGAGGCCAGGACACGCCCCTCCCCCTGGGCAGCTGGAGCTAGGCCATGCCCCTTGCCCCCATGGGGCTGGGCCACAACCCCTTTCCCCTGTGAAGCTGGGACAGATCTGTCCTCTGCATGGCCTGGTTGGGGATGGGGTTAGAGCTGGGCCCATGATCTAGCAACAATTAAACTGATACCTAGCAACAGGGCCATCCCATGGGGGAGCAAATCGGAGCAACCACCCTGGGCCCCACAGAGCTGGGCAGCGTGGCCGCAGCCACTCTGTGCTGCCACTGCCAGCTTCACATCCGGCCACTTGCCCCCCCTTTCCGCTGCTGCCAAAGGCAGCAGCAGCTTCTTCGGGTCTAGGGCACGTGGGACAGGAGTTGGGGCAGGGCCCCACATGGGCTGATTTGCCCCAGGTCCTTTACCCTGCTTGGGTTGGCTCTGCCTGGCAACAACTGAACTGATAGTTCACAACTATTTAAAAAAGGTAGGAACTTTCTGAAGTTCAATCTATGGACTAAATTCTGAACAGACATGAAGCTCCTACTGATAGCAAATGCACTACTCTGGAGTGATAAGGCTCCCTTCACTTTAAAGCAATTTTCATCATTACATACAGATACAGGCATCACATTTGCCACCTCAGTGGGATGTGTACCTGTAGCGACTGGTTTTCTCGGCCTAGCTCTTGCATTGCTGCAGTTGTGTTGTCCAACTTTTTCTTCATTTCCATAAGTTTGGCTTGAAGCTTCTCAATTTCTCCCTCACCTTTGATACACCTGGAGATGGACAACAAAATAGAAGGTGATGCAAACAAAGCAAATTTGTGGCAGGTTGTCACAAAGCCTGGGAGAAATAAATGCTGGAAGACGAGAGAAAGAAGAATGAAAGATATCACTTTAAAAATAAGTATTCTTGTCCAGCTGGGACACTGAATTGTTACAGTAAAGACATGTCAGCTCATACATTGACCCTCACTTTCAATGCTAGCAACAAGTAGGAGAGAGTAAGGCCAGGATTGACTTCATTTCCTCCACTGAAGCAGACTGCTCTATACAAGTTCATACAGAACAGTCTTCCAAGTAAGACTGGCAGGCTGCTTTACAGGTTTGTGAGTCTGTTAGAAGAATTGACAGCTTTCCTGGGCTCCCTCCCCAGCTTGGATTTAATGCCATCATACCAAATATAGTTCATTAAAAGCCTACCTCTCATAAGATTTTAACATCCATTACTACAAAAAGTTGGCACTGATAAATTTAGTACAGTGTGACTTCTGGAGACAGACTGATGTTAAAGAGTCTCAAACACATTCCCTTGCACTTGAAATGCAATTCATTTTTCAAAGAAGATGACCAGGAGAAAAAAGACACTCTACTCACAAAACAACCTAACAGTAGAAAAAGGAGGACAAGTGAGCAGTGTTTCCTACGTCTCACAGAGGTTGTCTCTTCCTGCAGGCCTCAGAGGGTCATCCTACCATGTAAGTCTTCCCTACCATGCAGGCCCTTTTTACCCTACAGGCCACATGCTTTCTGGAGCAAAGGATCTCTGTCCTACAGCATTCAAGAAATCTTTAGTAGGGGCAGCAGAAGACAGTCATATATCAGAATTGTAGACGTTTGCAGGAAGTCCAGTGACTCTTAGGAAGCCTATCTTGGCCTTTAAATGAGGTTTTAGAGACTTGCAACCCGTAAGGTCAATGCATTGGGGGCAATATTGAAAGCCCATGCACCTCTTTTCTTCTTTTTAATACTGGAGGCTCATTAGCCTGTTCCACATCACTGAGGGGACTGATTGGTCAATTTTTATTCAGTTGAGGTACAGCCCTCCCTGGGGGGCTGGGACTGCCCACAACCAACAAATGTACTCAATCCATCCATTCTTCCAGACCTTCTACGACACATGCAAAAGAAAAGTAGGAGGTCACCAACTATGCCTCCTGATACTTATACGTGTGGGGAATGAATCTGGATGACCTCAAAAGGATCTTAATGACTATGGGGTACCAGCATAAGCCTGGTAAAGTCAACATTGAGTTGGGAATGCTGAGCATTTACCTCTCACTGAAACCACAGCCCAACACTGCATTCAATGACTCACCTCTCCAGCAATGCTCTTCTCTCGTCCTGATTATTTTGCACTGTTGCTTCTAATACTGCTATCTCCCCACGCAAGTCATCCGTCTGCTTCTCTAGCTCACTGACTCTCCTCTGGCTGCTCTGCCATTCTTTCTTCATTGTGGCCAGGTTTTCATTGAGCGCTGTGAACTGCATGGCGAGCTTGGCCTTTTCCTCCTCATGTTTTTTGTTTTCTTCTTCTTTTTCTTTTATCTCTGAATGCTGAGAAAGAAACATTGAACAGTGAGCCATTAAATAAGTGACCGAGATGTAGGCTATGCTGGACAAAGTCTAGGCACACAATTTGGTGTGAAAGCACTTTCAACAATTAAGATGACACAGGTATTTATCTCTTCAAAACATTAAAGACATTCACACAGACAGAAACACATCTGTGAATATGCAAACAAATCCATTTTACTAGTAGGACAACATTTCTTACATGCAAAAGAAAACTAAACTATTTTCTTCTAATAATTTTCACTTCCTTGACTCAGATTAACAGTCTCATCACAAATCCAAAATTAAATTAGGATTTAAGTTAAAAATAGGTATTATATAGAACAAATATCTTTAACTGTTCCCCTACAGATTTATTTCAATTTGTCAAAACCATACTTAACATGGTATACTTGAATTTTCCTACAAAATTGTTTCACACTAAGGATTTTTGAAAATATTTACTACCATTGATGAAAAAAATGTAAATAATATACATTTCTTTTCCTTCCACTCTCTCTGAAAAGATCCAGAAACATATATGCTAACAAGGCCCCCTTTTATACTCCATAAATGCTGACCAGTTTAGCTTCAAGCTCAGCATATTCCTTCTTCAGGTCTTCCTCTTTCTTCTTCAGCTTATCTCTTAGAATTTGCTGGTTCTTCTTCTCTTGTTCCAGGGCTGAATTCATGTTATCTACTTTGCCTTGTAGCTCTAGTTTCTGCCGAATCAATAGTTGTTTGGCATCCTTCAGATTTGCCACTTCCTGTTAAAATGCAAGTTTAAAATATCATATAGAATCTAAAAATAAGAACAGTAAGATTTACCTGTAACCTATGTCTATACCTACTATAACTTTGCTTCAGAGACCATATCTTTATCAGTTTTATTAGAAGAGCAGATGCCTCTATAGCACAAAATGTCAATTAAATCATGATGGTATCAAATTAAGTTTCTTATTATTTCAGATCTTAAAAAAATGCTTGAGATTGAAGCTTACTTTTTCACTAAAAGAGGGGAAATTCTGTTTTCTTCCTTTCTTTCTCTGTTCGCTTTCACTTTTCTAGTTTATTTCACTTTTCTTTAAGTAGAATTCAATTTAAATCAAGTTTCTACCTAACAAGTGGCGCAAGGTATAAAGTTACAAGCACTGTGGTGACAGGAAGAAAATATTTTTCTTTTAAAAATTACATATGGAAACAATTACAAGAAACTATTTCTATTAGCCTTTATGTTTGAAAATATTTGCCCATGTTTGAGCCAAATGTGGTAATAAATCTTTCTTAAAGGTTTTACTTATTAATGGATGCGCTATGGTGATGTAGTGGTGGCAGGCACTAACCGTGATCCACCACTACTGCGCAGAAGCAACGAGCTACTGCATGGTAACTTGTTGCTCCTGCGCAGTAGGGGTGCATCGCTGGGACTGCGCAATACGGCACACATGTAGATGCTTCCACTGTATAGTAGAAATAAATTCAATAGCAGAAGAAATCATTTAATTTGACAGGAAGCATTCTTCCATAAATACCACAGACCAATAGGCAGCTGTTACATTAACCAATAAGATCTTAAGATCCGTAAGGCAAGACAGAAAAAAGTACCCTGAGATTACAAGTTTTTTCCCCACCTTCTCCAATTCCTTGAGTGGATGACACAACATAACTGAAGGTAGTTTTGCTTTCAGTTTGACTACCTGCACAGGGCCCAGGAAATTAGTATAAATCTGACATCTCAATTAGACTGTCTGCAGTTGCATAAGTTTTTTCCTTCTTTAAAGGAGAAGTTTTAGGAAGTGAATGAGAATTTTATTTAGCTCTTACAATATCCAGGACAGCATTGGGACCAGACTGCTTGACAGAGACAGAGAACATACCTTTTGTCTCTGGAAGTAAAAACATGTTTTTACTCTAATTTCTAGAAATAATCTTAAACTCATATATTATTATTATTGTAACTGTTGCTGTGTTGGTTTTTTAAAATCGGGGATTATGTCTTTACTGGCCCAGCCACCCTGAACATTAGATGTCTAACAAAATAAATTGCTATAACCATACTTCCAAGCGTATAAAACTTTCACCACAAAGGAGGCCTAAAAGTAAGATGCATCTTATATACTGAAGCTATGTACTGAAAAATAATTAAAATCATTGTAATAGAAGTTGACCAAAAATCAAATCAAATGCGTCCTAGTCTCTTGATTTTGACAATTTTACTTCTACCTTCCTGTCCATCCTGCCCCCTCACTTTCTGGGGAACATCCATCTTATAACCCAGAAAAAATGGCACCTAATAAAATGTAGAAAATGAACCAACAGCTTTTTAAAAGTATTATATTTCAGAAAAAACCTAAGTAGTAAAATATGTGAAATGAAGTATACTTTGATTTATTAAATGTTATTAAAACGTTTAAGAATTATTTAAAGAATTCCATTCGGACCTCCAAATTCTTACTTTTCCTTAAGAAAAAAGACAGTCATTTGCATTTAGCCTGATCCCAAAAAATAATTTTCAAAAAGTTTCAGCCACACTGATTTAGCCATTGAAATGTAACACTATATAGAAATGTGTTCTATAAACTTAAGGGTTATGAGCAAATTAAAAATAAATCTCTTTCTCTGGTTGAAAACAGATATACAAGACCATTTTGACCCTCTTGTTATACCTCCCTTAATAACAAGAGTATTTATAATCATACTAAGAAATCTGGTGATTTTGTTTGGTGGGTA